TGTATATGAATGAAGAGAAATAAAGATGATAAAGTAAGACTTAAAACCAATGTCCATCGTATGTAAAATTGCAAACTGAACTTACGATACAGATATTAAAGTTTGCATTAAGTTGGGTTTATCTTACTCATAACAAGCTATTTTAACTGCAGCACCACAGTTGTTCTGCCAGTAAGTGCTTCAGTGATGATGCTCGTGCTTGGATTTGCTTATCTCATATCATTACTGCAGAAGCTGGTCTCTTCAAAATGAGAAAGTAAAAGAGCAACAGTATCTGCAAGATTGTGTTACTCTGGGTTAGACACCAGTTCACCATGACCCTGTATTGGACTAAGCTGTAATTGAGAATGGATGGACATCCATACCAGTCAAAACACTGGAAAGACTACAAATGAGAGGAAACCACCTGATCCTTATTGTTCTATTTCTTAATAGTCTAGTACTAGAAATGACCCAACTCCAATTGTAAAACCACCTTAAATCCCTAAATAAAGAGAGAGTTTAGAGTCCTGCCCCCCATGTCTTTAGGAGACAGGAGGAAACTGGAATTCCTGATGAAAACCCACTCAGACATAAGAAGAACATGTAAATTCCACAAAGACATATTCCCAACCTGGAACTCCCAATGCTGGCACTGTGAGAAACTAATGCAGACCACTGCACCACCTTCTAATGCCAATTCCATTTATTACTCAAGTCCTTCAGAGTTTAATGCCCTGTAATACAACTTCCAAATCTTCCACTGCATTGCCTGTGCCTTTTATCCAAGCGAACAGTGAAACACAAACCAGAGGGCACAAGTGGAAACAATGTGGAACTGCATTTAAAACTGAGAGTAAATGGCAGTTCTTTAGCCAAAGGGTTAAGATAAGATCATTTTATTGGCCCTATACAATTTCTTGTATTAGGAATTTGTCTTTTCACATACCCCAGCTTGGGCTCCATGAGACACACAGGCATGGAGAGAGAAGCTTGGGGTCAGGGTGTAGGGTCAGCCATTTGTACAGCACCCCTGGAGTTAAGGGCCTTGCTCAGGGACCCAATGGAGTAAGACTCCTCTGCCAGCAGTAGGATTTGAACCAGTAACCTTCCAACCACAGGCACAGATCCTTAGCCACAGTGCCACCACTCCAGCTGTAGGTGAATGGACCAAGTTTCCTAGCCATGATGTTGGAGCTAATGCCCTGGTTTCTTTTAAGAAATGCCTGGATCAGATCCTTGGATCCTTAACATTAACAACCAAATAGGCTATATGGGCTGAATAGCCTTGTCTTATTGGTAACCGTTCTTAGGTTCTTACTGTATGTGATATAGTCCAGTTATTACACATCCAGGTCTTTGTTTTATTGGGGTTTAAAATTAACCAATGCGGAGTATCATCACAAAAGCATTAGCAGTTTGTGTCAGAAATGTGCTAGCTCAATGGTGAGAGATAACATTCCTTATAAGAGATGTGTATGAGGGCAGTTGTAAAATGCATAGTGTCTATAAATCAGCAATAAATAATCTGCTTCTTTAGAGTTTGCAAGAAAAAATACATATTTATTATAAAGTTTAACAAAATATATTAGTGCATCCACCTAGATTTAACATCAGCAAAACTCTCAACACATTAGAAATCTTGACTACACTTTTAATTGTTTTTAAAACCAGGCCTCTAGTTTTCCAATCCCATTTATTGTTTAAATTTTACATTTTAGGGTTTGATTTATTTATTCAAGATTCCAAAAATGTGGAATGTGTTTTTTATGTTACGGCCTATAATGAAAAGGCATTTGTAGCTCCAGGTGCTTTAAATAATAGTTTGTTTTGGATTGAATTTTTGTTATGTCCGACTATCAGTGCGTGTGTCCTTTTTTTTAGTATGAAACATCACCTGCAAACCTGTCCTCTGCACAGCTGCAGACAAAAGCAACGCATTGTCAAACAGGCATGTAAAGAATTTGGAATCTTTTGTGTTTTGTGGTTGGGGCTAGTTTTATAGGCCACACCTATTTCTGTAAAAAAAACAATATAAACTGAAGGGAGGAATTTGCTGTGACAGCATTTAAATCAAGACATTACTTGTTAATTAGTATTAATATTATCTCTGCTGCCTTGTTGTTAAATTACTTAGCTGGTAAGGTGTACTGTGTTATTTTAAATGGGAGTGCTGCTGAAGCTGGATATGCTACAGTAGGATCAATCCTTTTCACTGTGCATAACACATTTTCTTCTTTCTACTGTAAATTGTAGTTAATCTACAAGTAAAAAAAAAGTATATATATAAAAGCTGAGCAAATGAACTATGCATAACATATGTCCTGCAATGTGAGACAATACGAAATGTGAACAAAAATATTTCTGTGATTTAGTTAGGCCTACATTGAGTCTAACATAAGAAGAACTGATGTGGATGTAATATGATAGGAATGAGACGTTTTGTCTAGCTATTGATATGTCTGGTTTTATTTTTTTTCTAAAGATCCAGGTCAAGATGAGTGTAAGAAATAAAAAGGGAATATTGTGTTTCCTAGCAAAAAGTATTAAGGTGAGACACTTTATGGTTAAAGTGGCACGTATTTTATTAATGTAGTATTAAGTACTCTAATTTTGAATGGAAAAGGAACGCCAGGCTCCAGCTGCACTGGGACCCTGAATTGGATGAAACGGTTGAAAATGAGTGGATGGGTGCATGGAAAAAGAACACAGTAAAATTTGAGCTCTGAGTGAAAAAATCAACTTTGCATACTCACACTCAAAGGGGCAAATTTCACCATACCACACCATAAGGCAATTACTGTCTGCATCTAGAAATGTACAGTGTGAAAAAGGCGGTGCTATTTAAGACGATCCATTTAAGAGTTAAACATCTATAAGATGTATGATTTATACATACATGCCAAATTAAACAAGACATGGCAGGTCTGTATTTATCAATACTGGACGATTTCATTAACGTGAAGATTCATTGTGCCTGAGGGATGATTAACTAACGTGCTGCAACTAGTTGGCCATTTTGTTTCTTTGCTCTTTTTGGGCTAACTGTAGGATTGCTAGTCAATAATCACATTAAATGTTTAATATCGTTAATAATTTAGACGCATTTTGCTGTATACTTCCACGTATGAAATCTTTTAATTTATGACGATTCACCTGGCACTATGTCTTGTACTGCTATCTTGTTTTTTATTTGCATTTCTCTGCTTGTTGGGCACACCTGTGTACAGTATGTGCTGTTGTGCTTTTTTGGGGGGGAAACCTAAAGATTTTCAGAGTGTAAGTGAAAGTACTGTAAGTGCAAATAGGGATCCCACTCTAGGGCAAACTATTATCCACAAAAACACTCACACAAAAAGAAAATGCCAAAATATAAAGATTTTTCCTCGAAACATTTTAAAGAATTTCACTTTGTCATCTCTTTCAATTAAATCTCTCCCGCAAAAAGTTTAAGTAGCGAATGGAAACCATTTAAGCCAACACACTTTTTTCGATATATGGATTTTTACACACAGCGAAACATGAAGTGGAAGAACGTGCAGCAATAGGGGAAACTACAGGTATCAAGTATAATACCTAAGCGCGTATCCCCTAGAAATCTGTACCCGCCTTCCAAATGCGCACGGGTTCTGCATAACTTTCCAGGATACCTGATGATTTAGACGGCGTGCATGTAATTACCTCTTCCTTTTTTTGCGATATGGATAAAAAACGAAACCCGTTTTTTATGTTTCTTTAAATCGGTTTCTCGGTGTATTAAATGTGTATGCTAGGGATTATAGTTTTTTTTTTTACCAGAATTAAAACTGAAGTTATTTTTACACAACCGAGAGCAACCCGAATTACAGAACATAAAGGCTATGTGCATCTTTTGTCCTTATGTATTATATAAATAATTTATATATGATGCAAAAACTCATGCGTCACCGAGAGTGGAAAGGGTAAATTTTCAACGACGCTTGCGCATTTCGAAGGGTGAGACACATTTCTAGTGGATACTGAATTGGATACGACAACTTTGGAGAGAAACGTATTGGAACATCACAATATTATCTACTAGAAGTCTGAAAAGTCTTAAACATACTGAAAAACTCTTGAACAATGAACAGTCTAAGCACTTTATTGCATATTTATTATCATTTATTTTTTATTGTCAAATTATAAAGAAAATGTATTGTTTTCATATTGAAGTAATATATATCAGAAAGATCTTTGTATTAAAGTTAGAGACGTCAAATGTACCCGAAAAACGTGCATGTCTGAATCTCTTAATTTTAAGAGACAAAGTGCTACAAACTCTAGACAAACTCTTGCGCAATGGTCCCACCTTCTGACAGCATAATGAATTACATGCATAGGGAAATCGCCCTCTATAACTACAGGAACAAAAACTAGTGCAAACAAAAACTAATTCGGCTCAGAATTTCAGTTTAAAAACTGTTGTGATAATAATAATTATATCATAATTAAAGCAAACAACAACAACAACAACAACAACAACAACAACAACAATAATTAATATGATACAATTATTATTAATATAATAATTAAAGCAAAGGGTTTATTTAAGAAAGTCTTATAGATTTTAAGAACCAGAACAACTAAACTTTTAAGAACTTAATTTCAATTCAACATCTGCTTTTAGTATACATCGCTCTTACAGGTTAAGATTAATGCTATTACAGCTATCAGTTTTATAATAATAATAATAATAATAATAATAATATCCCATTTCTATCCATGAGCAATGTATATTAATATTACTACTTTTAGTACAGGATATTTTTTAATTTAATTATTTAACTATGTTGCTCAACACGGTTCTTAATAACGAATTACCATAGCGGCAAGAGAACTAAACATATTATTCAGAAAAAGGAAAGCCCTAGACAACAGCTACGATTTAGCATTTCTGGTAGCTTTCTATATCTACCGGATGTATAGTAGGAACAGAATGATAATTGCGATAACAAATGCAACTACTTCACGTTCAATAGAATGTCGCTGTCAACGTTTTTCACGAACGCGTTTTCCTCTTTGCGAAGGGCGGTATGGTGAAGAAGTTTGGCCCTGCCAGGCTACCCTCCTTGGTTATCTTTTACCTTTTCACCCTTCACTATTTTTTTTTACTTTTAACTTTTATTTCAACTTTTTGATCTTAATTATCAGTGCCTTTATACTCCTGTTGTTTGCACTCCTCGGAAGCCTGATTTCTTTGGGGACATGTTTACGACCACTGGCTCAACGGGGCTCTGTGAGTTATTTTAATGATATATTTTAACTTGACAAGTTACTGTTCTCTGCACTGTCATTCATTCGTTGATTGTTAATATTAGTTTATTTTTAATAAGCAAGCGGTTGCTAACAGTGCATGCCTTACACATATTTCGTAGTTTATGACATGATCTTTGGGTTTAGGCATTAGATTTGTCCATGGCGTTTCTCTAGTATTTTTTAAAGGGATTGCCACAGGTCCGACGTTATTTTAAAAACTGTATTGTTACGACGAATTCTACCTACAGTATGATAAAAAAAGCATTTGTATTTAGAATATTTTCTACTGTATCAGTTGGCATGATTAGTTTCGGTCACGTTAGAGCGATATGATTTTACAGTACGTCAGCTGCCAGCAGAGCCCTGTCTTCTCTAGTCTTTACTATGGAGGCGTTTAGTTGTAGTAAGACATTGAATTCCTGTAAATCGTTTGTAAAGAACTGTTGCCCTCTGTGGTGTTACTTGCAGAATTCCTCCTAACACCGTGCCTAATGTTTATTAAAAACACTACATAATTCATTACAGTTTTTGTTTCAGACCTTTTGTTTTGGTTGTTGATTGCCACATTGTGTACTTATTTTCAAACATTACTGTACCTAATGTCAGTTCTCTAGTAAGTTGTTTTTTCTCTGCTTAAAAATTCAGTTGATTTTGTGAAGCTGAAGCTAGGGAGAGTCTACCATGGGGTTCTAGAGAGCCAAACTCCTGTAGGTTTTATCGGCAGCCTTAAAAGGCCAGAAAGCAGCAATCTGGAAGCAAGTTAACTGGTATTTAAGCAATTTTTCTGATCCAAAATAAGCTATTGAGCACTCAGCTGGAAAAATCCCAGAAAACACTGTGGCTTTCTCAGACTGGTCAAGGATGTGACTCTGAAGTGCAGAGAGCTAGCATTAGTAGCAACGACTTCCACCTAGACTTTTGCTTAACTGTTTATCAGCCTCTTGCATTGACTTTTCACAATTTTAGCCCATTCTTCTTTATTCATCTGCTTCGAGCCAGTGACAGTTCAGGGTTTCCTCATGCGAACAGATTGCTGCTGGTCTTGGCATAACATTTCAATGGGATGTAGTTCCAGACATTCCAAAATGTGAAATTTCTTCTTCTTCAGCCATTCTGTTGCAGATGTGCTTGTATGTTTAGGATCATTGTCTTGCTGCATGGCTCACTTTCGGCTTCAGCTAATCGTCTGCCATAATCATGGTTCCATCACTGGTGGCAGACCATTCAAGTCCTGAGGCAGTCAAGGAATCCTAAACCATGAGTCTTTCAACACCATGCTTGACCATGTCAGGATGGGGCTGTTTAGTTGGAAGGCAGCATTTCAATTTCACCACACAAAACATTTCTCATTGTGCTGAGAAAGTTCAACTGACATGTCTATTCAGAGAACATTCTTCCAGTTGTCTTGTGGTTCGTCCAGTTGCTCTTTGGAAAAAAAAAATGAGACAGGAGGTAACATTCTTTTCAGAGAGTGATGGTTTCTTCCTGGATATCCTCACATTAACATTATTCCCGTTCAGTCTTGTACTGATGGCTGAGGCACGAACACTGAGATTAGCTGCAACAGGAGAGGCCTGCAGATCCTTAGATGTTACTCTGAGGCTCTTTGTGATTCCTGGATGATTTTCTGGGCTTGTATGAGGAGATCTTGGCAGGATGACCTGGGAAGTCACAGTGGACTTAAATATTTCATTTTTGGGGATGGGACACCAAATGTTTAGAAATGGTTTTATAACTCTGTCCAGACTGTTGAGCATCAGCTACCTTTTATCTAATGGTTTCTTACATCATTAAGAACGGGACTGCCTAAACTCCTGTTTACTTGTCACCCAATTATTTTCCAACCTGATTCTAATAACTTCTTTGAATGTGCTAAATAATCCAGAGTTCAATTATTATTTCACATACACTGATTCTTAATGATTAATTTATCTTATAAATACACTATACTGTTTCAAAAAACACTAATTGGTAAATATAAGCCCTTTTGGCTATTTAAGAAAATATTTGTTTTTTTCTAAACAGTGGTATCATGGTATGAAAGTGGAATTCCCCTTAACTATATGGGGAATATATAGTATATTAAATACAAATAAATTTGCTGTAAGTATTAATAAATCAATATAACCTGTTTTACTAATTGTTTTTCACATGTGGAGGCGAATTGTTTTAACAGTAGAGATTGTACTGAAGCTAAAATTTCGGTAAACAGCCCAATGCAAGCAGCCAAATTACAATAATAGGCTAGTTTCTCAGTGGTGTCAATCATAAGACTCATAAGAAAGATTACAAACAAGAGACCTGACTTGACACCTGAAGAAAGCTCCACGGCCGAAACGTTGTGTTTTCTCTCTCCTTTTTTTCAGCATGGAATAAACCTATTGTTCCTTTGCAGCTGACGCACACTGACGCATGCTGACGCAGCTACCCACCTGAACCAATTCAGAAGAAGTCCACTGCATTGACTTTTTTAATGCCTTTGATGATTTGTAGTACATGTTAAAATACAATAAGCAATATTACTGAACATCTTGTCTCCTAAAATTGCTTTCCCACATTGAAAACTTTAAATGTTACCAACATAAACACCAAAGTATTTCTAAAAAATAGTCTTTTCTAGCTCAGTGTTTTCCATTTTGTAGTTATTATGTTTTTATTCTTGCATGCAAAACTATGCAGGTCTGTATTTAATCTGCCAAGTGTCTTGGAATTTTATGTTAACCTTTCTGAATTTCACTTTCTGCTACTACAGTTTTCACTAGTCTTGGCTAGTTTACCAACTATTCCATAATTGGGATAATTGATTTTCATTAGGAAGAGCAGTGTTCTCAGTGCAGATCCCTGTGGTATACCACTAATTACTTCACCCGAATTTGAACATTCAACCCTTGTGTACTCTGTGGTTTCTATTAACCAATTCCCAAACAAAATACACTTATTTCCTGGAATGCCAGCTGCCTGTAAATGTAAAATTAATGTTTTATCACAAGTCTTCTGAAAATCACGTCAAAACTCTGTGTATGCTCATTAGAATTGTTGCTCGTGCAAAGGACTCTAACGAGTTAGTTAGGCAAGGACTGTCTTTTCTAAATCCAAGTTGAGCAAGGTGTTGTTTTCATATACTGTGGTGTGGGTGATTCTTTAAATTTGTTTTAATAATTGCTTTCATAACCTTTTATGTAATGGAAGTCATGCTTAGTGGTCTATAATTATCTGGGGTTTTAATTTTATTATCTGCCTTCTTGTGGATGGGCACTACAATAGCAAATCTGCAGTCCATGGGTCGCAGCCTGGTCCTGAGCGACTGTTGGAAGTGTTGTGTCTGTGGCTTTTTAATAAAATCTCATTTTTCCTTAAGTACAGTTCTTGACATAAAATTGGGCTCTGGGGTTTTATTAATTTTGATTCCTTCTACTACCTTAAAAACCTGTGCCTCTTCTTTGTTAATACTGTTTAATAAAGTACTGAAAGAACTTGTTAAATCATAAAATCAGACTGTAGGTGGAGTAATAGTGTCCGATGAAGCAGCTGAGGTTTCAGCTAGTCATACGCTTTTCCTCTTTGCTGGTTTTGCTTATGTGGTCGTCTTATTGCTCACAGTCTCCATTGTTAGAGTAGGCCTACATTCACAGTCCACGATGCCGAGTTTCTGAACATTCTCTCTTCCTGTAGAAGGCCGTAGAAGGTGGGGTCGTTCTATTTTTTTAAAGTTGTGGTTCTTAGATGAGCAAAATAAACCCTACAGCAGCAGCATCTACTGCAAAAATTAACCACCACCATCTTGTGTGTGGTGTGACCAATTAACTTGTGTGTTTGGATTTCACTTTTATCATTATAACTAAATAGTAGTAATAATAATAATAATATAATATGTTTCTATGTATTTACAAAACGTTAAATGCAAAAAGCAAATACCCTAGATTTATCAGTGTATACCAGGAGCTTGTACTCAGTGCATTAGACCTATATTCATCCTAACTTGATCATGGGAATTGACTCAGAAAATAAAATGGTTAGCTCTATAATTGGTTTTAAACCTTACAACCCAAACACTACACTTCTTGTTGAAACTAACAAACTAAAAAAGGTGGACTCACCTAGAGAGCATATGTGCTTAGCTGAGGAGCCAATGGCGTGAAGCTACTTTCTATAGGATTATGACTGAATGGCCTTTAAGTTAGAACCCCCCCCTAAAAAGTGGATGGATCAGTGGGTCTGTATACTAATGGATCATGTGCTGCCTAGATAATGGCTGGGTACAGTTTGCAGTGGTATGCTATGGTAAAGGCAGAGTAAAGTATAGCAAAGATAAAAGCATGGAAGAGCATAAATACTGTATGGTGAAAGCTGACACAAACCTTGAAGAACCATGAAGAAGCTACAGTAATTAAAAACATGAAAAAAGAAAAATATTGAACAAAACATTTCAACAATTGCATGGTGTACTATGGCAAAAGGTTACAAGAGGTTGCTTGGTGTTTAGACCAGACTTTTTAGAGATGTAGTGTACCCAGCCCTCCTTTTTTGTGGTGGGTACATTCGTGAATTATTTGTGGATGATGAAAAATGTGTAAACTATTGCACGTGCCATATTTAATGTTTTCTTTTTTTCAATCTCTTAAATTTAGCAAATAGTAACTGTGCATTAAAATATGGCAAGTTTAAGTTTGTTCCCTGCAGGCTGTGTTAACTTCTTTTCACTTAGAAAATCAACAAAACATGTAATTTGGCCAGGGGTGCCCAAACTTTCGCATACAGCTATGTGTTTTGAATTGAGTCTTGGAGATAGTCTGAGAGGCTTCGGGCCTCTATGAGTGTTCTGGAAGATTTAGGAACACCTCTCACTCCCACCTTGGCCAGACACCATGAGCTCACAAATCTACGCATGGAGAAAGTGAAATACATTTCTTAATTTTCTCTTTTTTAACAGATAAAGCCCCACTGTCCAAAGCCCTGCTGCTCATCCCAAGTGCCCTATCATTCTTGCTGGCAGTAGTGTTTCCACAGTACCAAGACTTTTTTCTGTACAGTCTACACAATATTAGACAAGACCTACAGGTAAGTTATTGCCTGATAGACCTTTAAAAGTGATTATGTTTTGTTTGGCACTAGAGAGCCCCTTGCATGTTTGATTTAATTTTAGTTTTTTTTCAGGGGAGTAGACCAAAGAACCACTACTTTGAGCTAAACAACTTGTTAAAAAGAGAGATGCAATTTAAATGTAATTTAAATATAATGAGTCACAGGACCAAAAATAATCACAATCATAATCACAATCAAACAATCAAACACTCACCAAGTAGAAAGGTTACAGTCAAGAGGAGCCCATTTGGCCCAAATTCTAGTGCATTTGGCTGCTGATAGCTGATAGATACCTGGACCTCATCCAGCAGTTACAATTGACTTAATCCAGAGTATTATAATGAAAAAAACCCACAACCCCTTATATAAAACATTAATGAAGTAAAAAAAAACATAAGATGCCAAATCCTTAAGCTGTTTTTGTAATACTTAGTAAGTTTACGAACATAAGTATTCTTTTGACAGCAGAATACTTTTTATTATTATATACAGCTGTAATACGTAATTAGACTTGATTGGAACTGACTCACAAATCATTGCAAAGAAATAAATCTCTCTCAAGAAGAAAATATTGATTGGAACTAACTGGGAATGGTTGATAGAGTCTGATTTTGAAGGTGTTAATAAAATGAAACTATTTGTCCTGTTTGTGCTGGAAGGGTTAGAAATCCTGTCTTTAGTGTAAAATGATCACCTTATTTGTCACAGCATCATCACATCACATAATTTTGTGGCTAGAGGCTATACCTGAAACCATCGGGCACAAGGTGGGATGCAATCTGGATGGGAGACCAGCATATCATAGGGCAGACAAACTCACATATGCAGACACACTCACACCAGGGCCAATTTTACAGAAGGTGATTCACCTACCAGCATGTCTTTGGACTTTGAGAGAAAACTGGAGCATCTGGAGGAAACCCATGTGAGCAGGGGGAACATATAAACTCCACGCAGGTAGAATCCCAGGTCCATAATTGACCCAGCACTACACCACTTCACAGCCCCCACATTATTTGTAATTTTGTTGAAATACTGTATGCGTTGTCGAATGTGACTTATTACTGTTGTAGCGATTTCTTTCTTCTTCTGCATCTGTCATTAATGTCCCTGTCTGTATGTTTCAGATCTGGAGATTGATATGTGGAAGGCTCATTTGCTTGGATTTGAAAGACACATTCTGTAGCAGCCTCCTTATCTACAATTTCCGGATTTTTGAAAGAAGATATGGCAGTCGGAAATTTGCTGTATGGATTTTTCTCCTATTCAGATAAGCTCTGAAACTTGGAAAGCATAGTGCTTTTTAAATACTCACTCCACTGAGACTTTGTACTAAATTAGTAATGTAACCAATATTAGTACTAAATTAGCATGTTTAATATTACTGCAGTACTTAGGTGGTGACTAGTGGTGCATTTCCAAATGATACAGTGAGCTTCAATTAATCCTTGTTTATCAGTTTACTTATTATCAGTTCAGTGCCGAAATTATAAACTGACTAGTACTGTGCTGTAAAATAAGTAACACACTACCGAAGGTACTGTCACTTCTTTCATAATGAACCTCTATTGTTCCATTTCTTTGGAAAGGGTTGTAGATATTATTACTGATGACTTTTTAGGAATACATTTAACCTTTAAAAATTTTAGGTTGCTCTTCTTCTGCCCGTGCCCTCCACTGAAGTGCAGTATGTCAGAGTTCCATAAAATGTGTACTGACAAGCCATTATAAGTCTTTTAATGAATATTTTGTCAGTTTTCATGTGAGTAGAGTATGGAAATCAGAACTGTCATTACAGATATATATTTTTTATTTGAATATTTCAAATTAGTATTTTCTTAGGAAATAACCTATTTTTGACAGTGTGATATTGAATTATTAAAGCTAAAGGAATAAAAAATGAAGTAATAAAGAGAAACACATTTTTTAATACCCTGTGCAAATCCTGAAACCATCCACTGTTATAGGCAGGCCAGTGTGGCGCTCTCATATGCAGTGACCAAACTGGAAGAACAAGAGGTGTCCTAGATTTAGGTACTGTCCTAAGATCGGCCATCAGAAAGCTATGGCATAGAAGGCAACTTCAAATCTTCAATAAATGTGAAGAGTACAACAGTAAGAAAAGCAACATAGCTGTGCTTGTGGCAGGCTGGAAGTAAACATGATAATATGACCTCTTTACTTGTGAATCTTGGTAATGGGAATTGAATGAAAGATGCAGGATGTTAGCAAAAGTGCAACAATGAGTAACACGCCTTTCTTTCTGGCCACAGTCTTTCCTGTTTGGCGCGTGGATTCTGTCGGCCCTCTTTGACACCCTGCTTGCCGAAGCTCTGCGCTGTTTTTCAGACCTCAAAGTGGATGTTCTGCCATCCGGGCTGTAAGTTCTGTTTTCTTTCTCACTTCTTGTCACGGTGCAAATCAATTTTTTCAAAATATTTCACATGACATAGATCAAGCAACAGGTGACCATGCAGAGGTTGTGAGCCATGGTGCCTTTAGATGGAGTATGGATACAATCAGACTCATCCTGCCTCAGATCATTCCACTGTTAATGTTGCTGAGAGATCGCACGCTGCCCGTGTGCAAGCTCTTCCTCCTGACACTGCGCAGGTAGTTGCGGTACAGTATGACGCTGATGACGCGGTCCTGGAACTGTTTGGACACTATGTAGTACAGGATGATGTCCAGGCAGGTGCTGAGGTTCATCATGAAGGTCGTGAAGGCTGCCCAGGCGCTGTAGTCACGCCCAGTGTTCTCCAGCAGCAAGAAGACGAAACAGACGTGGAAGGGCACGAAGCACACAAGCACCTGCACGATCAGGGTGATGATGATCCTGATCGACTTCTGCTTGACTTTGGGCTTGAGTTTGGAAGTCCGCCCGTGAATGAGGTTGTTGACGATGATGGAGTAACACCCGATCATTATAAAAATGGGCACCAGGAAGAAGAAGATGATGCGGACAAAGTTCACGGGGTTGTCCTGCTTTAGATGAATGATGTCCCGCATCTTTACACAGGTGGTGAAGTTACTGGCCTTGTCGGGGTCGTTGTCTGGAAAAAGCAGTGGCGCCGAGCAGCCCAAACTCATTATCCAGATGCCAGCGCAGGATATTATGGCTTTGCTGATGTTCTTCAGCTCCTTGCTGTGCTTGGGCTGCACTATGGCTACATACCGGTCCGCGCTTATTAACGCAAAGAGCCAGAGAGCAATGCAAGGGTAGAATACTGTCAGGGCTGCTGTGATTCTGCAGAACATATCGCCAAAGGGCCAGTAGTTCTTCCCATAATAAGCCATGCGGAATGGCAGTACCAAAATAAAGATCAGGTCCACTAAGGCCACGTTCATCATGTACATGGTGACCGAGTTCCTCCTCTTGGTGGTGAGGCTGAAGACCCATAGTGCTGTGACGTTCACGATAATTCCAATGGTGAAGATTGTGCAGTAGAACACTAATCCTACAATCCTGTATTCCACTGGCTCGGTTTCACCTGTCATCCTGTCCAGAGAAGTATTGTCATTTGTTTCCATAACAGCTGGTTTCCTTTAAGACATGATGCTGCAGCAAGGAGAGATAATAAAGAAAATCCAACACATGAGCAAATAAATCCCAAATAACCAGACCAGGGCTTTAAGTATAGACTATTCTAATTCAGAGAAATGCTACATACTACTTAATATGCACTATATCTTCATTACTTTGACTATTTACCAATTACTTGTAAATAATTTTATATCTTGGGTCTTTTCACAGTAATAAAAACAAAAAGATTTTTCAGTTCTTTTGCAACTTTATGCCACCCCCAGCTGTTTCTGTTAGTCAATGATTAATCACCGTTTTCACATGGTATATCTGAGATACGTTCCAAAAACAGTTACCTCGGGTGAACATCTTTCAGTGGTTGTGTGTGAACCCCTGAGGTCATTCCCTTGGTCTATGCAAATCAAGGAATTTGAAAGTGGTGGAAAGTTTTGGCTGCTTTAATTTTCTTATACCCCAAAGCCTAAGAGCACATTTCTACATGCACGATGAAAAAAGGTTTATACCTGGTCACTCCATTTATTGGTGTGGTAAGGACAACAGCATACTGCAAAGTATAGTAGTGTCATCACAGATTAAAGACTGTTACTCTCAATAGTTTAGAAAAACATTTATTATTAATTCTTCCTTCACTTTTTAAATGTTTATAAGAATGAGTATAAAGCAATGTAAGTGTTAACATATCATTTTCATTAACGCTATTCAGTTGATCCAAGATGACTGTGGAAAAGACATTAGTGGTTACGTACAATCAAAAATTAGTTGAAAGCTGAAATATAAAGGAAATGTACTTAGATCATTAATTTGATTAGTGGCTGCCTGTAAGTATACATAAACCATTGCGAAACTTCCCCTGGCTAGTTCAGAATCCCGCATCACAAGTGTTGCAAGCTTCGTCATGTAATTATTTTGAGGGGGATTTTCCCACATCCTGTATTTTAAAGCTATCTATACAGTTAGTGGGGCAGAGGGACAATGAAAGTACTGGAACAGGTTTACCCTCTGGCTCACAAAAGTATCAGAATTGTTGACTACCATCTTACAACAAAGTACACAAAACAAAGTCTAGCTTTTTGAGTTTTGTCTGTAGTGCAGGACATGTCCTCTGGATGTCTGCTAATAAATTCTTATTTCTCTGTTCTGGCACTGAACATTAGTACAAATCTGAGAATCACAACTGTTAAATCAATCCACCCACTTTGTCACAGAAAACTAGCCTTAGAAAACCTCTTATTCCCAGGTTCTGAAACTAAGCAAATGAGCAACTGTTACATGATTTAGAACAGATGCCAGTGATGAGAAACAGAATGAAATGAAAACAGAATTAACACATCCGTATGACTGTACAGTTTAAAGAATATTTAGAGCACTGTATTACAACTCAGAAAAGGAGCTTTTCTTTCTGATAACCCATATTCTTGTCCAAAATAGAAAAGCACGGGTGTATAAGAGATACTTATTAAAAGCAAAAATATTAAACTCTTTATCAGGAGTTATATATACAGGTAATGGAAAGAAACTGGATATACCTGAAACCAAGAATATAACATCCCAGCATGCTTAGGAACCTGTGTAAAAATGCTGCAAGGACCTGCTTGCCCATAATTATGGTTAGAATGCCAAAAAGAAAAATCTTCAGTGTCACTGAAAGATTGTTGGGCAGCATTTGGCAGGAACATCAGTGACCATTACACCTCAACTTCATGAAATACCAGTAACAGTGCTGTCGAAGGTGATGTGAGCATGGAATTCCAAGGGAAAGACTTCATCTTTGAGTGAGTGGAAGTGCATACTTCAGGATCATGCTATTCATATATTAATGCAAAACAGGCGATCAACAGCAGATCAGTTGACTGCAAACTGCAAATTTCAACCTGTAGTATGAGCAACCGGTTTCTTTATAAATGGTCTACTGAGAAGTCCACAGAGCAGAATGCTATAGTCCTATTGCAGTGCACAAACAATACACAATTACAGTATGAATCTGGTAGTGCAAAAAGCACAGGCAGTGAGGAATTGAGTAGAACAGTGAAGGAATGTGAAATAGTCAGACGATGATTGACTTTCTCTTGAAAGAATGGTGCCACATCCCTCCTACAGAATCCTAGACACTGGTAGACTCTATGCCATGATGCATACTGGCGTGAGGCAGCCCAGAACCATTTTTAAATAATTTTACATTGGTCTTTCCATTTTTTGTCCATACTGTTTATACCTTCATCATTTTCAAATGCCAGAAATCTCCTAATAATTAAATTAGGCATGCCCTTCAGGTATTTGTGATTACAATGAATAAGTGAAATCTACCTTGCAGGTGAGTGGTTAACTTGAATTTCCCGTCCTTTTGTTATGAATGCAGATATGCACATAAAACTAATGGAAATATTTTCTCGTAATTTTGGCACCTGCACTAATACAGCACTGTATTTTACATGTATATCAGTTGAACGCATATACTGTATATATAAACATCATGCTTACGTCTTCAAATCTCTGCTATTAGAAAATGTTTTTTTTTCACAATAAATCTACATATAACTTAGATTGTTTTGTTAAAAGAAATAAAGATCTTTGTTTTCAGACACATTGGTTAGGTTAGCTGATTACAAACCGCCTATGTAACTGATAAGTTAGTCTGTGTGTGGGGGTGAAAGAAGGAAACAGCTGTGTACAGGCCAGTGTGGCTTCTGTAACTGATGTTACTATGGCTCAGTCAGAAGCTGATTAGCTGCTTGGCTGCAGCTGTACTGATCGTGAAGTGTCCAAAAATAAACTGTATATACTGTAAGTAACTCACTTGTAAAGCCCCAGTTTAAATTTGTGTGCTTGAGTTGGGGAATTTGGTTAACATACTGTTCTAAAATACAGTTTTAGAAATGTTATCCCCCTGCTTATTTTGAAAAGAGTGACTGTTCCTCTCCTTAACATAAAAGCCAGATGTACCAATATTAGTGGTAAAGGAGCAGGAGGCAGGGCTGACTGAGGTGGAGTTCACAGGACATGATCATATCTTGTACACAAAGCCAGATGGCAGAAAACGTCTTACAGTGATCATCTTGCCTTTTGCTGTTGATTTGAATGTGTAAAAGAAAGCTGGCTTTAATGTGCTCTGAGTCACAGTAGAAAGAGAAGAGGAAGTGGGCAGTGGACAGAGGAGAAGGAGCACTGTACATTCCCCTGGGGGCTGTGTTGGCAGTGGGTCGTCTGTACAGCCTCTCACAAGATTCTTGTTGCCAGATCCCTGACTTATTTGGAACTGCATGACGAGTACTGTATCTTTTCCTGGTCTGTGTAAACATTTGGATCTGTTTCTCACATATGAGCCCACATTCTGAGGAATATATTAATTATGAATTATAATTATAGTCCTGTGGCCAAGGTATAGCATTCAAAACCTGAAGTGGGGCTTTCCAGCTTCACATTTTGTGGTCTGCAGGGTTTCTGTGTTTTAGAAATAACTCTAAAAAACTGATCCAATTAAGGTTTAACCAGACCAGCTCATCCCTTCTGCACAGACATAAGCTGTTGATGATTTTTTTAAAGAGGCTTAGAAAACCAGCTCGATTCCAGACTGTGAAGACTGGTCCTAAGGTCTGCCTAACACCAGACCTAAGACCCAGATTAAACCAAAACTCTTGTGGAAAGTCGGTAACTCAGGTGTGGCTTGTTGTTTGCAAGGCATTTTGTTTTTTCCCCCCACTCTGTGAAAACCTGTCAGCAAAGTTTTCAATTTGCAATTCCACTAGGGAAATAGATTTATGTATCAATCTACAGAGTCATGTTATGTAAAAATGACTGGCCCCTCCCAACACTGGACTTCTTCAATGTCCGCATAATACTTCTGCAAGCACCGTACAAACATTAGACTTCTGCAAGACCATACTGATGCACAAATCTAAGTTGCCATTTATAGATGTTATGGTTTCCACTCTGTTTTGGTCTTGGTGTTGCCGTCATTGTATTATCTATACACCAGACTGCTTTTCTGTATGGTAGGGCTTTGCATATTTTTATGTAGCGTAGGTTCCACAAGAACACTTGTCTGGTATTCCATAGCCCCTGAACACTTGGTGTGAACTTTGGTGACTGGGAACAATATCTGCTGCATGGATTACTACTGAGTGAATACATGGGGGTCCCTCGAGGCACTGTGTAGTACATTGTAGATTCTGTATTATGCTGAGTCACTTCAAGGCAATTTTATGCGGATGACTGAGCAGATATATTGTTAAAGGGATAATTAACAGGTCTGACAATCTTACAGTTACAACATTTAGGGAACTCTACACCCTCTGAGGAGAGAAGGGCCTCCTTCCATTATTAACACTTACCTGTAGTTTCAGCCCTCTTTCTGTCAGTCATTTCTACACTGTGCAACACTTACACTGGAAAGTGTGGTATAGGATATTTTTTTCCAGCATGCACACAAAAATAACAAAAACATAAGATTTCACAAGAACGTTATAGTACTTTTGAGGTCTTCAGTTGTGTGCTAAGTTCTCTCATTGCTGTTTTTTGGGTATGCATTCAAGATCGATCACATTTGCACATTAATGGAATGTAGATGTCTTTTGCTCTGTTTTGTTAGGCTAGTACCTGTACAGGCGTTGCTTTGCCAAAGAGTCTGACAATGTATTTCCTTTAATAAATAATAATGTAGTTATTTATTTCATTTACATTGTGATTTGTAACCCTGAAAAATCTCAAAATATTTCACACCTAGGAAAGGATGCCCTTCAGCATTGAAGTACAGCATTCACCTGTTTAATGTGTTGAGCCGTTCTGCACTGCAAGCCCCACTGCACAGCATGTACTGTATAGTTTGCCATGAGTGTTTTTGATCACATTTTGAAGATTCTGATCTTTTTTTTTTTAAGATTAAAGATTGATAATGATCCATTTGTTATAATAGTAGAAAGCCTTAGTGGTATCTTTGTACAAATTGCTTGTAGCGTACATATATTGATACAACGGGTTGTGATCACTGTTCGGATATGTATTTTAATTAGTGGTGCCATCTTGTAATTAGGTTTAATATTTCTTTCATTGAGGAAGTTGAAGAGGCTTTTCTCTGGAAAAAATGGACTATGTGGCCACTGCTTCAGAACAGAAACTATAAACCAAATGAAAAAAGAGAAGTTGAAATTTGATTTCAAGAACTTAAAATATTCATGAGTTTTATAAAGTTGCATGGTACAAATTAGGATGTGTGTTTTATACTATTGTTCAAAACTGTTTTTTATTTCAGCATGTTCAAGTACCTCCTCAATTCATCAGAAATATGCTGTATCATATATTATGTGCATGGTCAGTCACTAAGAAATGGAATTTAATTGCTACTTCTGCTATATTCCATTTATACCACTAATTCTTACTTTAGTTATTTTCATAAACAGTTTTATTTATTAAAAGTTGTACTTAAATGCTTTTGTGTTGATAGGTGGCGTAGGAGAACCAGGTCCTTATTTTCCCTGTTTGAAAACTGCCCACTCCATGAATGAATTTAATGGTGTTCTGAAACATTGTAGTATTTTGAACATTTCCTGTGAGGGCTTCGGCGCTGTGAAGCAGTTCATTGAGAAGCAAACAGAAACATGGATGCCTAAACTACAGTACATTTTGACATAAAAGCATTAAGAAGAGATTGGCCTTACCTTTGTCTTTTCTTTTGTCTCATGTACATGTACTCATATCAGAGAGGCTTCATGAGCAGCAAGGTACAGTATATGATGTGGCTTTGAAGCTTCTCCCCGTGCTCCGCAGAGTGCCTTGCCTGAAGTGATCTGAGGAAGTGATGCGATGTGATATTTTGAAGGCCTTTCTGTAACTGCGGCTTCTGTGAAGCCCCTACACTTCCTCCATTGTCAGCAATGACTGGTGGAACAAAAACTTCTCGTCTCTGTTACAGTCTGGGTTTCTTTATATTCTTGTTGCAGATGTTTTGTCCAAATACAACCTGAAGATTTAAAGGCTGGTGTTAGGTGAAAGTACATTTTGATCTGTCTGAGAGAGTTAAAGATGAAAAAGTAATGAGAGAATTTCTGTTACCCACCCTTGTTATTTATAATATTATAATGAGACAATGGGTATTGCAGAAAGTTCTGAACTTCGGAAACAGGAAAAAAGCTGTCACTGAGTCTGTTGTCATGTTGTTATTCCACTACATTTTTGATACTTGCACCAGTGGAATTATCACCCACTAACATAACTCAAAAAAGGGCTTTTCATGTACCAGTTGATCTTTGAAAAACATGGTCCTAGAAATGGTGCTTTTATTGAATCCTGTGCTCCTATTTGTGTTTATCATTAATTTATTTGGAGAACTCAAATGAGAGTAAATTTTCATTAATGGCGATGACATCTGTGTATATCATTCATTTATTTGGAGAAGTCAAATGAGAGTTAATTTTCATTAACGGTGATGAAGACAAAGAGTACCCTTTGAATTTTCTAGAACAATCTAAGCGAAGAAATGCTGAAGGGTAGAATCCCAGAATTTAAACCAAGTATCCTCTGGTTCAGAGGGTCAGGCGTTTTTTTAACATTATGTCTTTTGTTATGTTATTGGGTTTCGAAAGGTGCATTATAAATAAAAGTTGTTATTGGATAAAGTTGTTATCTGTACAGCAGAAGCAGTTCTGTGTCTTGAAGAAGTAGTCACCATGCTTGAAAGAAGGTGCAACGGACATTCAATTAAAAGGTTGTGTGTCTCCTGCTTTGGAAAATACCATTTAGATGTAATCATAGGCTGTTGTGAAGGAACTTATCAGATGTGTTCATGTACTTTAGTGTGTTGTTGAACTGATGTTCTGTATTATGCCATAGTGTTCTCTGGGCAAAGTGCTGTTAATATGGAGTCTTTAAAAAACCTCTCAAATATTAGCATCCTACTTTTATTGACATTTCTCTTTGTCTTTCACATATGTTTATGGTCTTAGCTTCACCTGTTTTTTATAATATCAAATGTTTCCAAGGAAGGTTATTAAGCTAGTCTTCATAGGAATGGACCACAGCATAAATACAGGAATAGAGAAAGGCGATAAGTGGGAAAAGGAACCGGAAAAGTCAGAGATCTCCTTTTTATAACAAGGCTGGAAAACAGATTCTGTCTGGGTAACCTGAACAATGAAAAGAGTTTGGACTGAGCATTATTACAAAAGAACTTGCTGTCTTATTTTAGGAAATTCTGGGATCTTATTTGGGAAATTCCTGTATTTTGCAATTCTCATGTTAAAATGTTCTCTGTTATTATTAGAGTGGAGAAATTGGTTTCCATTCACTTGTGGGCATCCGTGTTCAGAGGGAGATTTAGTCCTGGGTAGAATCTGTTTTCTTAAGATGCAGGTTTTCTTTGAGGTGTATTCATATTGTATTGACAGACCTTTGGAATTCTCTAGGCCTATAGTAAGGAGGGCTTTGGAATACACTAATTGTATATATCTTGTGATGCCACAGCGGGCACAGTCATCACATGGGCTTCCACATACGGGTGTCTAAGATTGACAGACACAGTCCAACATGGGCCTTTACATGGTGAGTTCACCAACCACTGTGATAAAAAAAAACTAAATCTTCTCTTCTCATGCATACAACTGCTTCTACTGTAGCACAAGCCATGCCTTTGACACAGGCAGGGTTTGTGTTCATTAACTGCAAAATGTATTGTATTTTGTTTCTTTTCAGAAATATTGGGCAAAGCATCAACATCTTGCTAAAAATAGTGTATATGAGGCATTTCAGAACCGTAAAATGACCGCTTCATCTTGCGTCATTGTTGGAAGTTAGCCCTTTAACCTATAGCCTACCCATAGAATTCATCCTCTGAGCTTTAAAAATGGCATTTTGACTGGGTTCAGATCTGGTAGTTGAGAAGGCCATGATATATGGATAACTTTCGTGTCATACTCATCAAACTACTGGGAAACCATATATGCTTTGTGAATGTTGTCATTGACATTGGCATTGGAAGACACCTACAGTAGTATCCCAAGAGGAAATAGATGTTGCAATATGGGGTGAAAATCTTTATGGACCATTACGTATTAAGTAAGTGATTAGAATTGACCTTGCTTTCTAAGAGAGAGAGAGCATCCCATCCATGAGGGGAAATACACCCCCACACAACGTTATGAAATATTACCAGAAAGTAAGCACCTCTTGCTGCCCCAGTATAATACTAGGTTTTTGGATTACCTATATTAATTTTGAGGTTAGACAGCATATGCTTTTCATGAGCACTACCGATAATTTGACATCTCTTTTTATTGTTGAATGGACCCTCTTTTAACAGATCTGATTACAGCAGCAACTTGTTCATGCTTGTTTATATCCTGTGTCTCATCAATGATTAATGCAAACACACCTGCATTCTGCACACTCACTGTGGGTCGTTCATTATTGATATCGGCTCATTCCGGTATTTGCCTCAAACTGAATGACTGAATTCTCCCACTTCATGACAAAGCGGTCAATGATGGGGCATTGATGCTCTCAGTTTCCTTAAGTCTAATTTTTTCCCCTTATTAAAAGATTATGCATGCAACACTTTCTGTCCACAGAAAATGTATTGCTTCGTCTGTAGTCGCAATTTCTCATACTGGGTATGAAATTTTTGTAATGGAATAAATTCATTGAAGGTACAGTATAGCAAATTTTGCACATTTTAAATTAAATACAAAATTGTGAACTTTGTGAAAATACTGTATGATTGCCATGTTGTTGCAAACCGCTGTCTCACCATGGGCAAGAGTGAGAGTTTGAGTGAATTCTGGGTGACGTGAAATGGCCCTTCCTGCTCACTAGCTGCTGTAAGCAAATGAGAAGCATGATCTCTGAAACAACTTGAATCCTTTTGGCTCTTCAGAACATAGTGGTCACACACAAAACAGAGGATCAGATCAGCAAAAAACCAAGCTGTTTCATTTTCTAAGGGATATTCAACTAGGACTGATGTTGGTCCCATTGAGAAGCTTCTCGATGAGATTCAGCTTGATGCATGAGCAAATAAGTAAGGGTTTTGCAGCAGGCAATTCACCATGAAAATATTCCAACATGACCTGCATGCAACATTAACAAGTAAGTAGTGTTTGTTGGCAAAACCATCTCAAAGTAGATATGTTGAATTCAATTCAGTTGCACTCATTCAAATCGGCAGTCTAGATAAAGTACCCAAAAATATGTTGCTTTGTATTTGGTTGTATCAGAACATGAAATTAAATCAGTAGCAAAATTCGCTTAGTGTGAATGGGTTTTTTGGGAACAGAAATCGATACATTTTCAAAACTTATCAATTTGGGATAGGAAATTTTCTCTGCCTGGGATTACATGATTATGAAACCTGACAGTTCGTTGTGTGAAATATATTTTCATTTCGGATACTGAACCAAAACTTGTGCTCAAATTAGGTGCCATTCCTATCATTTTTTCTAATAACAACCGATGAAAAACAAATGCGGTGAAAGAGTGACGTCAGTGCTTGACAAGAAATACTGAAAAAAAAATCTTCACAATTTAAGAGATCCTTTTTATCATAATGTTTAAGACTTAAGTTAAGATGGGCATTAAATATTTCTATTACAATGTATTCCCAAGACATCTTGTTTACAGTGTAATAGGTCTGTTTCACATCACTGGATGTTTTGTTTCCTCGTTCTGAATCGCAAACAATGACTGCAATATGGCGCTATGCATGCCTGGAAATTTAGTCTATTTTGTAAATTGGAGGTTTTACAGGTGTACTTTGTAATCGTACTATCATTGGGGTGTGAAATGCCTTCTGGAGTCTTAACTGATTTCCATTTCATACATCTCTGAAACAATAACAATACAGTTTTCTTTGGGTGGGGGATCACTTTGTAACCATTTATTTATTATAGCTTTCTTACTTGCTGCCAAAAATATTTTAACAACTTTAAACCAAATTTTTCATGTTAAGGCAGTTGGAGAATCCGATTAATTATATTGAAACCTGGCTAGATCACCAATTATAGCTTGGACTGGAGTATTTTTTTAAATCTAGTCTCTATGTTTTTCCACTTGGCTGCCATTTTATCAGTCACACCAACAGACCAGATGCTTGAGTTGTGCCGCATAATAATATTCTTTGAGACTGGGGAGTGGTTTTTTGTTCTTATCTTACCTTATCTTAAAGGTTGTAGTGAGTACGAAACAAGCCAGTCAATGTAGTAAAAGCCGATACCTTGACTTCCTACAGGGAAAAGCTGGATGAGACAATTGGATCAATGGGCTTCCTCTCATTCGTAACCTTTCTAATGTTTTCATGACAGCCCCATTGTGCATCTGTTTTTTCTCCACTGTTGGATATATTCTGATAATAGACTTCTATTTCACTCTTCACTCTTAATCATCAGAAAATGGTTCTTGAAATTGTAATTCACCCACTTTTCATTAGACTCATTCAGGAGAGATTTCCCAAAAAATATTTTTTGATGTAGTAAATTTGATTAAATTTAAAAGAAATGTAAGTGTGGTTTATGTTAATTTGTATAAAGCAATACTAAAGTGCATTATGGATCCAATAACTTTGCCTCGCACAACTTTTTCGAAAGCAGCTTTTTGAAAAGAGGAACAGATACTGTTGTTTACAGTAAAGTCCAAAAATCCCTTTACTGCACTGGTAACATAAAATAAACCACAAGTAATGTGTTTCACCTCACTATTGCTTCACATGCTGAAGTGAAATACTAGTTTGATTTCGGTTTAAGTTTTGTGCATAACCGCGTCTGAAAATGTTTACCGGTGTGGAACACTTTATGGGGGCAATTAATTTATAAAGCATTTCAGTGTGTAAATATAAGTACTGAAGTCAGGTTTAACTCTTTCCTAAATGTAATGTGCAGGACAATATGTAAATTTAGTGTGAATAAAACATTTCTCAATAACTGTTTTTAAAAATGTAACATTTTACCTTTCATTCTTATTTCTCTACAGTCACACAGCAACGA